AGCTCTAATGGCAGAAAGTGAAGAGGATCTTAAGAGCCTCTTGCTCAGGGTCAAAGAGGAGAGGCAAAAGTGGGCTTGAAGCTCAACATCAAAAAAACTAAGATCATGGCATCCGGCCCCATCACTCCTTGGCAAATAGAAGGGGAAGTCGGGGAAGTAGTGACAGACTTCACGTTCCTGGGATCCCAGATCACCGCAGACTGTGACAGCAGCCATGAAATTCAAAGTCGCCTGCTCCTTGGAGGAAAGCGATGGCGAACCTAAACAGCATGATAAAAAGTAGAGACATCACCCTGCCAACAAAAGTCCGCATGGTCAAAGCAATGGTATTCCCAGTAGTCATGTATGGATGCGAGAGTTGGACTATAAGGAAGGCCGAGCGCCGAAGAATAGATTCTTTTGAACTATGGTGCTGGAGAAGACTCTTGAGAGTCCCTTGGACTGCAAGAAGATCAAATCAGTCAATCCTAAAAGAACTCAACTCTGACTGTTCCCTGGAAGGCCAGATAATGAAACTGAAGCTCAAATACTTTGGCTACCAAATGAGAAGGGAGCACTCACTGATGCTGGGAAAGATTGAAGGTCAAAGAAGACGGGGACGGCAAAGGATGAGATGGTTAGACAGTGTCATAGATGCAACGAACATGATATTGAGCACACTTCAGAGGACGGCGGAAGACCGGAAGGCCTGGCGGGAGCTGGTCCATGGGGTCGCGAAGAGTCGGACTCGACTGTGCGACTGAACAACAAATGTATACATTTTAAATGTTTTTTCTCACACAGTAGACACCTAATAGTCATGCATTTAGGGCTGCCTGTTTTTAAAAAATTGCTCACCAATAGCACATTAAGTGGCTCATATGTATGAGATTTATGGTGTAAAAGCTATTATCAAGGTCATCAAAGCAGCTCTGCAAATGTGGTGAGTCACTTTAATCTCCATTTTTGGTTATGTTCCCCTAACTGTGTTAAATGTCACCCACTTCTTCATCCGGAAGCTGCAATGTTTCCATTTACGCTGCTATTTGTACATCTCTGAAGATGCAAAGAACTTGTCTATAGGCATTATCTATTTCTCACTCACATTATTATGGAGCTACCAAGTATACCCAAGAGTATATATATTTTAAAATGAAACAGTAAAATGTGTATGGGAGGCAGTCATACCAGTTGGTTCCATTTAAGGCAATATTATATTAAAATGCAGGTCACCAACCACAAATTTAGGCAGTTTATTATAGTTTGAATTTAACCCAGCCCCAAATTACTAGAAATGCACCAAATAATCCATATATTTGACAGCAGTGCCAAGGTAGGCTTTAAACAGGCTGGATGCGTGCACTGGGTGCAAAGTAAAGACAATTAAAATGTTGCATGCCCATAAATCATGAGCTGCTGGAACTAGCGTTCACAAGGCAAGACTTGGCATCCCATAATGTATATCTTCCTGCAGAAAACTACAGCTGACAAACATCATAATATAGTACCCTTTTTGTATTACAGAGAAACTCATCTGTCATCAGTGCCAGTTCACACGACAGCAACAGATTATTTGTGTCATTCTATTGTTCCATTCCACTCCTGCTCAGGATAAGAACCCAAGGTGTATTTTGATATACTTGCCCAGTGGCTGGGATATAACTGCATCCTGTAGACACACATGCAGGACAAACTTTTTTTAGTCTTACAACATATCCCAAACAAGAGAAATCTCAAGAATGTAATAGTTATGCTGCATAAATCTTAACCTCATTGAGCTTTGTGGTGGGGATATACATCATCTTTTAACTAGGCAATAAAATTCCACAGATCTTTTGATTTTTTTATCATAGATGGGGATGGGTGGTAATACTTGGTTGTAGTACAAGTCACTACATTGAATCTTTGGAAAATATAGGGCAAAAACTATGCATCATTTTTGGGATATGAAGCTGCCACCCAGTCCCATACAGAATTTGCCTTCCTTCTCTTTAATATTTCAGTCTATTTATGTTATTTATAGTCTACCTTTCTCACTGAGACTGGAGGCAGATTACACAGTGTAAATCTATGCAATCAATAAGATGAGAGAGACATCTAAGAAGCAATGTAATAGGACTGGGGTTGCAGAAATCTTGAACAAAGCAGAATAAAACATGACATGTTAAACAAGCAATAAATGGTATTACACAAGTAGCAATACAATGCAGTGAGAACAAGATAATGCATACAGCAACAGATAACACACAAAGTACACAGTAGTAAATTCCAGAGGCCCATTCCCTTCCTTGTTTTATTTATTTATTTATTATTTACACTTATATCCCGCCCTCCCTGCCATACGGCGCCAGTGATGATTCCACACACACACACACGAACACACAAAATCATTTAGGAAAGAGTTCTAGAAAGAATTAAAATATTGTTACATATTTAAGAAACATACTGTGCATCCTCTGAGGTTGTATAAACTGCTTAGTTAGAAATCAGTGTTAGGGTTGTAGCCAGGGCTATTTTTGGGCAGGAACGGAGTTAGGAACGGAGTTCCGGCTGGCTCCCAAGTTGGCCACGCCCAGCAGGAACTCATTAGCATAATAGGCCACACCCAACAGCAGAAAGTCATTAGGATTGGCTACATTAGGGGTGTGTGGCCTAACATGCAAAGGAGTTCCTGCTACAAAAAAAGGCCCTGGGTTTTGACAACAAACAAGGTAAACAGAATAACAAGCAAAAGGTGGGTGTGGCTGGATAACCAAACTTCTGGTAACATGTGGGTGTGGCCTAATGTGCTAATGAGCTGTGCTGTCAAGGGTGTGGCCCAATATGCTGATGAGTTCCTGCTGTTGGGTGTGGCCTATTATGCCAATGAGTTCCTGCTGGGCTTTTTCTACAAAAAGAGCCCTGTGCAACAAATTATTGCACATCTTTATTTATGAAGTAGATAAATAAGATTGGAAAATTTGACTTAAACCAATCCACTCAGCAGGGGAAAACTGCCTTCACCAGCACCAGACAGGAAATGAGGAAATGAAGTACTTTAAGTATGGGAAATACCAAACTGTATGGGGGTTAGCAAGTAATATTTGGACTGTACAGTCCATCTAATCCCATACTGACTGTCACAGTAATAAAGCAGAATGAAGGTATCAGGCACACTGATACAGCATAGAAGTAATGAGAAACCAAACAGCAAAATACAAAGCAGGTACTATTGAACACTCTGATACCCTCTAACTGGAGTCCCCCTTACCAACCAGCACCTATGTAGATTATCCCTCTTCTAGCCAGTGGCCAGCAGCACTGTCTTCTGTCACACCTGCTGCCAAATTAGACTACAGAGAACAGTCTGGCAGCTTTTCATCTTGCTTCCTTGTAGGGTTGCCAAATCCGAAAAACGTGGGGAGCGTCCTGCCGATCCGGGAGCCGTCTGCGGATGCGCGCGTGCGCGCCGCCAGAGCATCACCGGAAGTGACGTCACACGCTGGGCAGGGCCACGCCATTTGAGGGGAAAACAAAGAGTTTCCTCCTCAAATGGCTGCCCGGGTGACGCGCACGCCGGGGCGGAGTTCCCCCCGGGCCCCGATTCCCCGGCGTCGGGTAACGGGCCTCCGGGGCGGGGGGAATTCCGCCCTACCGGGGGGGTTGGCAGCCCTACTTCCTTGCCATTGTATTTTCCCATCATTCATGCTGTCCAAGTATTCTTCATCCAGAACAGACATGTAAAATGGTAATGAGCAAAGTTATCACACAGACCACAAAAAACCAACCCACTCTGGAACAGAATGTGATCAGGCTCTCATTTGGGACTGGGATTTCAAAATTTCTACTTGGGAGAGTGATCTGATATCACGTGCAGGGGGGAAAAAATTAGAGCACATGATGAGCTAGAAAGACGTATTTGTATTGGTAAAATGCATTGATAATTGGTACAAGCAACAATACCTCCATTGGAATTTGGAATCTAATTTTACTCACACCACCTCCAGCTGTATTTTTATTGCCAAGGAAAAACATGTCACATGCCATTCCAGTGTATGTTCCCAGCAATCCCTTTTGCTACCCCTTTATCATGTGAACAGAACACACAATGTTGGCATTCAACATTCCTTCTCATGTTTCCATGCATCACAGCAAAATACAGCAGTCACTGATTTTATAAAATGCAGTTGTGTTCTTAAAACCTTGATAAATTACTACTGTGCATCACAATATTATTAACCTGTAAAAAGAGAACTGTTCGCCTTTTTTAGTTTTTCTTATTCAATATATTTATTGCTCAAATCTAATGATCGGGTTTAATAAATGACATTTAACACATAGTTAAAAATTCTGCTTTTTCTGTATAGGGTTAATTTGTTTCACCTACAAGTCTACATTTTTTTTACCCCTGCATCATCGTTTTTATTCCGTTCATGACTTCTGATTCCATGACAATGACCTAAGGTACAGCATGGTTAACATTCCAGACCTCCACAATTTTTGAGTTAATTCATAGAAGAACATTCAGTGACATGATTATCTACTTAGATATATGGAAAAGAGCAAGATGTTATTTTGCTTCCAGTAACTGAACAGGTATATATCATATAATGAATGACCCAACAAGGACCTCAAGGCTTTATCAAATTCAACACACAAAAAGCAACAATAATGTTAAGCTGCAGCACTTATAAAGAACACAAATTCATACAACAGTGTTTGTGTCATAGTGCTCCTCCCAATGCAGAGTTCAAAACCAGGCATAGTCTGTTGGCCCCCAACAAGAGCCACTTTTCAAGGAGCCTCAGTCACTCTTCAATTCCAGCTCTGTACTGTTTTTTTAAAAGGTTAAGTGGGGCAAGTGTGTAACTTTCAATGTTTGTTAGAAGATATTAAATTAGTATGTTCTCTAACATTTTGCAGATTTCCCCAGGGCTAAGAACAAATTTTTAAAAGCTGATTTTCTAGTATTTAGATTCCTTCAATTTCACCTCAGTGCAAAATAAAAATAAAAATGCACATACTTTTATTACATCAGAACTAGTTGCCATTATTGAAAACCTCAAGCAGTGAACTGTGATCCAAATATATCTGTTCAATAGACCTATGAATGTCCAAATTAGTTAAGCCCCTTTCTCAGTGCAACCCTACAGTAACGTCACTGCAGATTTATCCAGTTTTTTTATATTAACCATGCTGGGTGGACACCACATTGGATAAAAAACCCCCCGCGTTTATTTTATAAACATAGCCTTGTGGGACAACATCAAATGAAACTCTTTTGCTAACAACACACTGAATAATTCTATGTGGGTTTATTATTCTCCAGACTGTTTTTTATCAGGTACTTTCTGTGAAAATACATAACTAAACTAACACAGTTTAACCTTTAACTTCTTGTGGTTAGATGTCTATTATGTAGACATGGAGCTCTATATTCAACTTTTTCCAAATAAAATCTTACTGAAAGGAATGAAATGTTTGTACCATTGTTGCTATGGATAGTTTTACAAAGAAAATTTGTGTAGTCAAAGAATGCAGTATTGCATATAAAAAGGTACCTGAAGAATGAATAATGGGGGGAAGGGGTTACTGTGTTATGCATCAAAATATCTTTTCATGAACAATTTAAGCCTTCTGTTGAACACTTACTCTGTAATCTCTTGGTGAGATATTTTAAATTGGTAGTCAACTGGAACAACTTAGGCAAAAGGGATGTTAAGCAGCCATGCTGGTCCTGAACTTGGAAAAAAACAACACAAAAGCTGGTCCAGGGAGGTTTTCCAGTGAAACGAAACTGAACCTAAAATCTCTCGGTTGTTGTGAAAAAGAACCAAATTCTTGAACATAAAAATGTGGCAATCAGCTCAAAATATATGGTTCAATAGTCAGGCATTCAGAAGATTCTTTTGAGGGGCGGTGAAGCCTCCTCTTTGCTCTGGTTATATTTGGAGAAATTGTATTTCCCGGTGAATCTTTTGAAAAGAAGTGGGGGAGCAGCAGGAGAGATTTGTAGGCCTCTTGGTGCTCAAGTAGAGGCTTGCCCACCCAGAGCTATTGTCCAAAAACAAGGCCTCAGTGTGAAGGATTCGTGAGCTGGGGCTAGCAGGTTCTTGTGCGTCCTTGGCTCTGCAGTTCCTCCTTGCAGCCATTCTACCATATCTATACAGGGTACATACTTGTCCCTTTTTTGCCAATAGCGGGGCTTCTTGAAAGAAAAGTGAGTGACCTAAGAAGCTGGGGGTAGAGGAGAGAATATTTAAAAGAAAGGCAGGCGGGCTATGAGAAGATGCGGAAAGGGTGTGTGTGTGTGTGTGTGGGGAGATGATGTTTAGCTGGTTTAAGCTGATTAATAAAGCAATCTTTGTTATTTTGCCCAAGACCTCCCTGGCTGGCTATGCCTAAAACATTACCTCTGGGTTTGAGGAGAGACTTTCCCTCTATAATTGCATATTGCTTGTTTTACTTTTTAAAAAATTAAGGCTTGAAGGTTCATGGTGCAGAAACTGTTTTAATACATGCAGCATAGACAAAGTAAAAAAACAAGGCTCAGGGAAGAAAAGGAACTGTGACTTTATGTTGATATTGCATATAGTTCAACAACTAGGTTTATGTACCAGGAAATTACAAATTGTACAAAAACACATAACCCAACCAAGCACTATGCAATGATTCTTTCCTGGGTAGAAAGTCTCCTCTGATAGTGGCCAGAGATGAAAATTTTAGTCCGAGTCACTCAGGAGAGCCTCAGGCAAAGTTACAAGTCATTAATAAAATAATCAGGTTAAAACTGTTTAATATGATCTAACCCTGGCCCCCAGTCGAAACTGAGCTCTCTTTCCTCCCATTTTACAGACTAATATTGTAAGGCAATAGTGCGATGTTCTTTATGAGATGTAACTAAGTCGTCCACAATGTCTGAAACAGTTACCAAACTATTTTTTAAACTTAACATCTGACCAGAATTAACCTGTAGAGTTAGAAAACAAACTTTTGAACCTGGACTGAATCCAAAAGTTTGTGACTCCCTGATAACTAAAAAAAAAGACAAGAATAAATCATCAAGAGGGTTGGATCCCAAAGATTCATTCTGCTAGTAGAATTGCTATTTTTCAGAAGAATACAGCTTTCCCCAAGTAAGATGTTCTTGGGTTAGTGGAATGCTCCTTCCACTAGATGGATGAAAGCACCTCCAGTACCAGAACAGATTCATAGGATCCAACCCAGTGGGCTACGCAAAATGAGAGAGGAAAAAGATGTTGCTGGTAGAAAGTACAGTGAAAACCCATCTGAAATACACGACAGTCTTTAGATGGTAATTCAGGAACTTTTCTGAAGATTAATTAGATTAGATCGGGATACACAAATCACAGGATACACTAAGGTGTACTTGGGCAAGTAATTAATAGCTGCTTTCACTTCAAAAATATAAAACCTAGTTGTTATTCAAACATCTCTGTAGCAGTAATTGAACATATAGGTCTCTTGGTAAGGCAGAATGCAAAAGAGGTGGGGCAGGGGGGAAGTGATAGTCCTTATGTTAGCAAAACTGGAGGTTAACGTCAGATGATGCACTAGATGGCAGAATCAACAGAAGCCAAATTGGATATTACCATCTAGAGGCTGAAAAGCACGGGTTGGATCCACCCAGGTTTTCTACTGGTGAAAAGGGGAAGAGGGGATTCCCCCATGTCCTCCAAAGAAATCTGTTCTGAGGTTCATGGGACATGCATGGACAAAAGCCATATGGGGAAAAGGCTGTAGTAAGGAGAGGAATTCGGTGACACTAAGTGAAAAAACTGGCTGGATTCAACCCTATGTTTTCCCCAGTAACTGTCAAACTAGATGTGACATTTTAAAGTGAGCAGGTAGAGGTTTCCCCCATTTTTGAACAGCATGTGAAGCATTCTGTGCATGTGCAGCTCCAAAATGGAGGCAAATAACACTCACTCAGGGCCATTTCAGTTCAGGAAACAGCTGGATAGGGGAAGCAGCAGCAACTCCTCCCCTCTCACTACAGGCCCAATCCGTGTGGCTATGGGGAAAGTGAGTTGGGTCCAGAATCTGGATCAAACTTGTTTTTAAAATGTCACATGTAGTATGACCCCAAGATAATAACTTAGGTGAATCTGTGCATAGTAGGACAGGTAGAAAAGGCGAGGGGGGGATTTTAGTGTGAACTTCAGGAGTCTGACTTTATGAGTAGTGCTGAGAATATCCTAGGCACAGACATTAGTGTTAGAAGCAGTTAAAAATTAGTTGTACAGATTTCAATTTAATCACTTAACAAAATATTGTACAGAACTCAAGAGCTCCTCTAAAATGACCACTTGTCAAATTATGAAACAAGGCTGGAAAAATCACTGATGGAAAGAAAGTATAAGGTGCATCAGAACTGTTTCTATGACATACTAAAGATAAAGCACATCATTTTTCTGTAACTCACTTTCTTATGCCTTCATATTTTTGTTGCACACACAACTCAACATCACTTATTGTCCACTGAACATATCAAATGCATAACAGAGCAAGCTGAAAGCTAATTCTGATTGTTTTATTTTACATTTTTTGGCTAGTGTTGGCTTAAACAGAACATTTTAAAAGAAATTGCTGTATTTTATGTATTATAAAGTTTGAATAAACTTACAAAAGCACTGGATTGAAACCAGAGCAACTCTACCAAGTACTTATAAATTCTGGCTCCTTTTGGGGAAAAACCCCACATGAATAATGTTCACATCTGTCAGGCCAACGGAAGTGTATGACTTCTGTACAAGCTACATTTAAAATTCCCACTGATTAACTTTTTTATGTCATGGATGGATTGAAGTTGTGCCCAGTCACCTCTATGACAAACATCTGCAAACAAACTTGAGTCAAGGTGTATACACTGAAAAGCCAGATTGCCAGCTGGCAAAGGAAAATGAAAAGGAGTTGTGAGTCTTCCCCAACAGCAATGGCTTGTTTATTGTTGAATCAGGCCTAGCTAAGGCTTAGGACACTTAATGGCCATCACAGCACCAACCTCACCTACCATTTTTAGGTTTTTTTTTCTTTTTGCATTATCTAACTTTTCAGATATACATATTTTACACCTTGAGGTTATTATTACTATTCCAAATGCTTCCATATGAATACAGGTATTGTCTCTATATTCAATATAAATGTGTCTTTATTCAATTTTTCATTCCAGGGCTCTTTTGGTGTCCCAACTGCACATGAAAAGGTCCCTCTTTTTTGTTCCTGTGTAAGAAAAAAATGCCTTAATCCAGAGGCTCTTGTTTTATCCGAATGACAGAGGATGAACGAGATGTCCTTCTGAGTTCTCGTCTAAGTACATATTCACTGAATTGGGAAGAGTCCACCCCTCCTCCACACGAGCCAACAATTTCAAACCCTCTTTGTTGCAACCTCTCAAGTACCTGCAAAACAAGACAAGGAAAAGACAGTTTTAAGAAGAGACAGATAAACAGTGGTCTACCAGCCATCTATACAATGCAGTATCCACAGTCCTGGATTCTAACAGGAGATATATGAAATGGAAAAGCAGTTGTTCAAACCCATGTTTAAAAGAGCCTTTTTTTAACACTTCGCAAAGTTGCACATACCACATTGTAAATTGTTTGCCTCATTTGCTGTGCAGTAACATTTGTTTTTGTTTACTGCTTTTTTACTGTGTTTTCTACTTCCTTATTTCTAGTTTCATAAATTAAAAATATTGGTTGACCTCTCCCAATAATCACTACTAGACTGCAGTGACATATGAAGCACAGTTTCAATTTATTTATTATTTGTATTTATGGCCCACCCATCCTGCAAGCAGGTTCAGAGCGGGTTACATCATATTAATAATACAATTAAAATTTAAAATACGATAATAAACATTAAAACAGTAATCAAGACCGACAGAGTCAGTTGGCTGTGAGAGGTTGCCTAATATATTACTTGGCTTAATAGATAGGTGGTGGGTGGGTGATAATGTTACTGGAACCGTGAATGCCCCATCCAATTTTGCCCTAACACAAGGCAAAAAATGCAGAACATGCCTTCATTGGCTAGCTACTTACCATTACCCCATTCTGATTCTAGACTTCCTAACAATTCCTTTCCTTAGCTGTGGATTTATGATGGCCAGCTCTTATTTTAATACTGTGAACTGTAGTACAGATACCCATAAAGCCTGAATTAGACTATTCTCATATTCTTTTCTATGGGCACAAAAAGATTCTCTGGAGTGTGAGGCACTAGCCTTCTATGCCCTGCACTTCTTTTGTTTGGATGAACATTTAGTGGCCAAGTTTAAATGGTCTAGGGCAGGTTTTAATTGTGGCTGGAAGGTCTGCAGGTTTAAATATTTAATGTTTTGAGTTCACTGTAATCAACAATACATTGATAAAAGTAGAATAAATAAAAAAGGCCCAGAAAAGACTCCATTCAAGATGTAACTGCTTAAAATATAGGTGATGTGAAGGCCCAGAAAAAAACCAGAAAAATTAGGGGGGAAAACGTCCCCCCCCCCGTTTTTTCCTGAAGCCTTTTTTGTTTTTTTCCGAAAAATTGGAAACATGGAAAAAAGAAAAGGAAAGGAAAAAAAATTGATTATGGAATGTTTTATTTTAACATGATGAATAAAATATTTTAAGACAAGGTGTTCAAATATTTTCAAAATCATTTCTTATATATATATCTTCCTTTAGGAGGTGCTATTGTCAGAAGAAAATAAAAAGGGTTCAGTTTTGTTTTTGCATGTGGGTGGGTATTCTGTTTGTAATAATTGTTTGGATAGACTATATTTTCATATGCTAGTTGTGATAATTTCATGCCAAGTAAAAATGTCCAGAGTCATATTTTATGTTCCTAAAGTAACAGAATGACTTTCAATCTAGAAAAGACAAAAGAAATGCTAATGTAGCATTTCCCCCCCAATTTTTCCAAAAATTTCCATTTTTTTCCGAAAAAACTGGGGAAAAAATGGGGTTTTTTTCCCGAGCTTCAAAATTTCCGGAAATTTTACATCTCTAACCAGGCACAACCAGATCTCATTCAGGATTCTTTCACCACAAAGCTATATATGCAGTTTTATAATATCTAGTTGACCTTCAAGGCATAGTATGCAAGCTTCACTTCATTCCCTAGGCTTTGTAGGGTAAAGAGACAAAGGTGCCAACTGATGGACCTACTGTGTGTCAGTTGTGGACTTAAGCACAAGGGTTTTAGGTTCTGGATGTGGTAGCCATCTGGGAGAAATCACTAGAAGTCATTCCATAAATAATTAGCTTCCTAAGTTTCTAATGCCTGTCAATGGCTAACTATTTATACTTCCAAGTGATTATATGTTACATTTTTTACTAAGCCAAGGTATGGTATATACTTCCTTATATCATAAAATAGAAACATCCATGGAAAATAAAAGATTAAATTGGTACATTTTCCAGAAACAGGTAGGATTCCCAGAATTATCTGCATACTAGCAGTAAAGCCCGTTGTGGAAATAAATACAACGAGATCTAGAAAGAGGCTCTGGGGGAGTGCTCTGGCTTTGGGCAAACAGTGTCATTTTGCTGTGGTGACCTCAGCAGGGTATAATGACAGAGTCCACTGTTTTCTCCAGAGGAACTGATCTCTGCTCCCTGAAGAGCAGTTGTAATTTTGAGTGATCTGTAGCCCTCACCTGGAGATTGGCAACAATTGTTACCCAGGATGAAATGGCTGGTTTGGAGGGTGGAGTCTATGGCATTCTACCTGTCTGAGGTCCCACCCCTCCGCAAACCCCACCCTCTCCAGGCTCCACCCCTCAAATCCCCAGGAATTTGCCAGCCTGGAGTTGGCAACCCCATCTCCTTCCCAGCTAACCATCAACCTACCATTATCTGCCCCTTTGACTTCAGCTGACTTCCGCCCTCCCTTCTGCAGAGCAATTGTAATTTTGAGCGGTCTCCAGCCCTCACCTGGAGATTGGCAACAATGGTTCCCCATGAGGGACTGAGTGGTTTGGAGGGTGGAGTCTATGGCATTGTACCTGTCTGAGGTCCCACCCCTCCTCAAACCTCACCCTCTTCAGGCTCCATCCCTCAAATCTCCAGGAATTTCCCATCGGGAGTTGGCAACCCTATCAGGATTGGCCCCAATATGTTTTCTCCCAAAGGCCAAAGTAGGTGACTGGACCAAACTAAGTTGCCTACCATCAGGCACTGAGGGGAAAGTAGGGTTGCCAGCTATAAGGAGGGAAATACCTGGAGTTTTGGGGGGTGGATTCTGGAGAGGGCAGGGTGACGGAGGCATCGGCCTTCCGTCGCCCGCCTCGCCCCCCCAATCTCGGCCCGGGCGACCGCGGCTCCCGCAACTGACATTCCAACTGCCTTGCGGGGAGGGGGTGAGTTTGAGGTGTGGAATGCAGTGAAGTCCAATCAGCTTCCATATGCAAAAGACCTTGAAGGTTCCATATGCAACTGACATTCCAACTGCCTTGCGGGGAGGGGGTGAGTTTGAGGTGTGGAATGCAGTGAAGTCCAATCAGCTTCCATATGCAAAAGACCTTGAAGGTTCCATATGCAACTGACATTCCAACTGCCTTGCGGGGAGGGGGTGAGTTTGAGGTGTGGAATGCAGTGAAGTCCAATCAGCTTCCATATGCAAAAGACCTTGAAGGTTCCATATGCAACTGACATTCCAACTGCCTTGCGGGGAGGGGGTGAGTTTGAGGTGTGGAATGCAGTGAAGTCCAATCAGCTTCCATATGCAAAAGACCTTGAAGGTTCCATATGCAACTGACATTCCAACTGCCTTGCGGGGAGGGGGTGAGTTTGAGGTGTGGAATGCAGTGAAGTCCAATCAGCTTCCATATGCAAAAGACCTTGAAGGTTCCATATGCAACTGACATTCCAACTGCCTTGCGGGGAGGGGGTGAGTTTGAGGTGTGGAATGCAGTGAAGTCCAATCAGCTTCCATATGCAAAAGACCTTGAAGGTTCCATATGCAACTGACATTCCAACTGCCTTGCGGGGAGGGGGTGAGTTTGAGGTGTGGAATGCAGTGAAGTCCAATCAGCTTCCATATGCAAAAGACCTTGAAGGTTCCATATGCAACTGACATTCCAACTGCCTTGCGGGGAGGGGGGTGAGTTTGAGGTGTGGAATGCAGTGAAGTCCAATCAGCTTCCATATGCAAAAGACCTTGAAACGCTGGGTGGGACTGCACAAAGCAGCCAGTCAACCCAGCCAGCGTCTTCTGACTGACAGTTCAAGCGTCCATACACTAAAGGGGCCAAATTTAGAATGTTCATATAGAATGTTCTTACTCAATTATATATAAGGAGATATTCAGTTGTTCACTGAATGAGTATAAAACATGCAATTAAATCTAATGAAATGAACAGAAAAATACAACTGAAGCTCCAAGCAGTCTGGGCATCATCATTTATATTTAACTATCAATGGGAAGGATAACTAGTTGCTAGGGGGGCAATATTTGAAGTGTCTTTCTTCCTGTTCTTCTCTCTAAAAGTGAGTTGGTACAGTCTGTCCTCAAAACACTCTGCTTTGTTAATCGCTAATTGTTTCTTTTTAAACAGAGAGTTGGCAGGGTGAAAATCCTCAATTTGGGTATGGACCTGGGAACCAGAAAACCTGGATTTAACTTCTGGTTCAAGTCAGCTGGAAAATATATGTCCACCATTTCAGGTAAAGGCAGAATTCAGGTACCACAGAAATGTTTTGGGGAAATACAATCCTTCAGCAGGTATTTTAGAAGCCTGTGTTACAAGATTATAAATGGATAATTTAAAAAGGTTTTACCAGCAAATTACATAAGTTAAATAAAAACCTCAATTCAAACTGTAGGGGTAATTAGTTGTGCAGGAACCTTTTCATGGAATCCCATCCCCACTGTGTTCACTGGGGAGGGAAAGAAACTGGCAGGTATCTCAACTGCATCAAGAAAGAGGTTTCAAAGAACCTCTTATTTACTGAACTTCAAACCCAAAATGTAAAACCTTCCAAACATATAAGAATTTGGTATGCAGCATACAAAATTGATTCATAATCCTTAATTCAACACTGAAATATAGTGCACTGTCATTCTATAAAGGATATTCTTGGCTGCTCTGTCAAGACCCATAACGGAGGGTGGTTGGCCAGAACCACCAGGAACAAGAATAGATTCAGACATTAAGTACCTTTTCCCATCCACAGGAACTAATATATTGTCAGTCAGGTCTGTACTGAGCATCTGACATACTCAACAAAGACCAGCCCCTTCCACACAGCAAGGCATGAATTTTGCCTGTAGTTAAAACAATTTCTGTGAGGGCAAGAAGCCCCGACTATCCTGGTATCTCTTCAAGTGACGATCTGTATATTATCAGTGGTTCAGGATTACTCTCGGTAACCTCTCTGTGTCAAGGAGGAAACATGGAGACACATACCCCATATCTAGAGGTATAAACTGTTACCCTGGTGTCTGGAAATGTAAACCATTCTTTCTAGGACAGAGTGCATTGTCTCTGACAATGCTTGCTTGGGAGCAGCTAACCACAAAGCTTTATGGGAAAGAAGCAAAGATTCAGCCATAGAATTTAATACAAAATGGGTGTGCAAGGGACTGAGGCTCAGTTGAGGCCCCATTTCTGCAACACAAACACTCACCAGGCTACCCATATATTGGTATTTTAAATGACTACCTACCTGAACTGAATTAAGATGACAATATCCATTTAAAGGAAATCTGATGACATGTGTTGAATCATGATTCCACCCTGCATTGACAGAATTGCACATCACATCGCCAATTTCTGGGAAAACTTCTTCTATCAAGGACTTGTCACCACTCATTGTTATCCTTTCTCCGAGATCTGGAGCAACTCGCACAACCAAGCACTCACACAACTTTGAAAATCGGCCCGTCTCCCGATCCTGTTTCCACCTTTCCATTTCCCCTAGCATGGGCTGAAGCTGAAAATATTTTGCTTCTTCATATAACAAACTGTAATCCTGAAAAACATGGAATTCAAAGTGCAAAATGTCACTATGCAGCATAGTTAAGGTACTTTTTTCTTAACAAATATTTCAGCACTAAGCTAAAACCTGTCCACATTTAAGGTTTGTACATTGCCTCAGCAATCTTCAGATACAGTACAACAAATACAAAAAAACCCCAAACTTCAACATTATCTTTAAAAATGAAGAGCTAAATATATTTCTTTGGTGCTGAACATACCGAACATTCCTGACCTATGGGATAAAGGAAGCATCATACACACACACACACACACACACAATGCAGTCTTAAACTCCATCAGCCATATTGAGACATGCCCACATCTGGATAAGTTCCAAGTAAATCTATAAACTCTTTTTTTAGGAATCTGTTGATAACATTGCTGGAAACGGTTATTTATTACATTTACATCCTGCCTTCCTTCCATCATGGAAGTCAAGGGGGATGGTTTCCCATCCAGCTACCAATCAGACTTTCCAGTTAGCTTCAGCCAGGAAGCACCACTATGTGCCACTGTGCTGACTATGCTCTTGGGCCTAGTGTCAGACTAAGATCAGGGTTCAAACCCCTACTCTCCCAAAAAGCTCACTGGATGGTCTTGAGTGAGTCACTATCTTGTAGCCCTAACACACTTGAGGATACAATGCATACTGTCCAGAACTTGTTGGAGAAATACATTTGTAAGTTACAGAAAAGATCTGGTTTATATTTAATGAAGTTAATAGCAAAGTGGGGGAAAATCAAAAACAGCCAGAAGAAAAGAGGCATAAAATACAGTCTGCTTCTAGCCCGAGAAGTATTTTATAAGATTTATTTTAAGTTGCTATATGTTTTAGGCTGTTTTATGGTCTTGGTTGTTTTTAGTGCTGGTTTTAATAGTTACATGGTGTTTTCATTATGTTTGTAAGTTCCCTTAAGCAGAATCTCTGGAGAGGTGGCACAGAAATGGTATAAATAAATACATTCTTAAAAGTTGGATCCAAAGGTAATTTCCTTCCAATGGAAGGCACATCTGTTAGAACTTTCCTGCTTTTCTCAACCCACTACTGCTCACTGTGCTCTCCAAAATGCTGTTCCTGGGGTATAGGGGGATCTCAAGAACAGTGTGAAGAGAAACTTGGGGGTATTCAGTTGTAGAGGTAAATGGGGGGGGGACTCTTGTCCCCTTTCCATTAGAGGAAAACTGTATTTGATTCAACCCAATATTTATGATGAAAGAATAAGATGAAGGTGGAGGTGGAACAAACCGCTGTTCCCACAGAAACAGATCCTGGCAAACAACTGCCTTTAACTGCTTAAAAACAGACTGGATGTGGAGTATGTTGCTTAGAAAACATTGCAGAATATCATTCTTTAGATCTTTTTCCAATAGCTGGCTGGATGATCAAATACCAAGGATACCCTTTTGTCTAAATAGTTCTGGACATTACAGCACACTAAAGGAACATCAGCATTACTACCAACCAAAGAGGTAGGTTTCCTTTCTATTTTACCTGCATCAAAACCAAACATGAATGGCTGAACACAGAGGAAGACTTGAAAAAAAAATTATGACTGACCTACCTCCAGGAAAGAAAACCGTTAGGGTCAGTGGAGAAACAGATGCTGAGTCTCAAGAGGACATATGTGCTTATAAACTATTTTTAGAAACAAAGTGCCATTCAGAACAGTCTGCCCTAAGAATGCTTGTGAAGGGCAAGTTGGTACTACAGAGTTTTGTAAAGGTTGCAGTTTAGCTCTGCAACTGGAGCTTGAGTGCAGTTCATCAGTCAAAACACATTTAGGCTTCCCTACTGTGTAGATAAGTAGGGCCAGATGTTTCAAATAACCCTGGGCTGGGTTTTTGGAAGTGCTCACACAAAACCTTTTTTGAAAATATGGCCCTTAAGGAACAGGAATAAAACAATTACACAATATCTTGAAATTCTTCACCTCTTTTCATGGTTCTCCCCCCATCCCATATTATAAACAAATCCCATCTGAATGCTAACAAATACCATGTTAGGGCACATCATTCTAAAGAGCAGATGAACTAATATGAAAAGATTAATGATGGTAGGTTTCAGATTCTAAGCCTTACTTCAGTGCCAGAGAAAGCATAACAATAGGACAGAAGTCCTAACAAGAAAAAGCAGATAAAAAAGAAACTAGTTGTTTAAATAGAGAACATTCATAATAATGAAGCAGTGTGACTTTTAGGCAGGAATGTATGTATGTATCGCAAAAAATTTCCCCCCTACAAACTTCTATCTGTGTTTAACAATTATATTTGACTTTGATTTTTACTTAGTATCTGGCAAATGAGATTCTGCAGTATTCAATATTTAAGATGCCATAGTATTTAACACCGGACAGAATTGATAGCCAATACTCTATGATGCATCAAAACGTTTTCAAACTTTCTGGTTTCAGAAACTTGGCAATGAAAGTGAACCAAAGTCTTCTGGCTAAAATGGCAAACCAGGAAGTGTTCAATAAACCACACAATCTTTTTCTTGTTTACTAACCAGGGTTAAGCCATAGTTACTTTCACTCTTGTCACTGTTTATGTTGTCACAGCTTCCATCTTCAGAACACACTTTCTGCTCCAGAATTCTTAGGCATGTTCTAGAATGCTCACATGGGTATTGCTGGGCACCACCACCACTCATTATAAACTGAGAATGTAACCAAGAACCAACCCAATGTTCCCCTGTAGTTGTGCACTTCAAAGGAAGATCACTAGTGATGGCCAAGAAGCTTCAAACTGCTGATTTCACTGATGAACCTTCAATAGGCTTATAAAGAACCGAAGGTTTCCCAAAAGATAGTTTAAAAACCATCGATACGTCATATTTGACAGAACCTGATGGTTGGCATACAACAATAACAACACTAAATATCATTTGATTACTAACACTAGATATCATTTGAAAGGTAACTGTAATTATTATGTCTCATGTTTCAATCCTTCCAAAACAGTCAAGAGCAAAGATTGAAACACTCTGGGTTTTGAGTTTTTAGTCAAACACTTCAAAGCCAAAAACAATACTACATTTTATTTTGGCAAATTCTGAGTGTTCATTTTGAACCATCTCTACCATCCATCAATGCAGCCCACAAGCATTGCTTCCTTTGCTCACTAGTTCTGATTATCCATATTGCCTCCTCAGTAAACATTTCAAGTGTTATTACAATGCATAAAGTTTCACCTTGAAATCATCAGGTATAAGAAGTTTTGACGTTCGTAGAAAGTTCAAAATATATCTAAACATTTGGCCATCTCTGTCGATGAAGTAGTGCTGCTTTAGGCTGTCCAAAACAATTGGCTCTGTGCCATCAAAAAGCCGCCCAATTCTGAAAATGGAAGAGAAGTCAACACCAAGGTCAATCTGCAGTCAGTTAACAGGAGGAAATTGTAATGAAGAAGAAGAAGAGACTGGATTTATACCCTGTCCTTCACTCGGAGTCTCAGAGCGGCTTACAAACTCCTTTCCCTTCCCCTCCCCACAACAGACACCCTGTGAGGTAGGTAGGGCTGAGAGAGCTCTGAGAGAATTGCTCTTTCAAGGACAGCTCTGACAGAACTATGGTATGCTCCGCAGGTAGAAGCGGAGGAGTGAGGAATCGAACCTGGTTCTCCCAGATTAGAGTCCGCACACTTAACCACTACACCAAATTGGCTCTCCTAGTCACTGACCACTACACCGGCTACTCCTAGTAACTGACCAAGGCCACCCAAATTCCTCAGTTCCATAGTTATGCACCAAATGAAGCTCAGTACTAAGAGAGTTCAGTGGAAGAAAACAATGTTGTTATAATGAAAAACAATGTTGTTATAATGAAGCATACTATGGGGGGGGAGTGAATTAAAAAAAAAGTTTTATGCTATATAAAAATGCCAGAAGTATATATAACAAAGTTATAAAAATGCCAGAAGTATAGAGAGAACAGGGCAATATAGAATGAGAAGATCATTTCAAGATATATCTCAATTTCAACTGTTTATTCAAACATGCTTTTAAGTGATTCTGGATGAAAATGTGTTCTTGTTAAGCACACCCATCCATGCAGAGAATGTTAACTTGTTTAGAGCATCCTGCAAATAAACCCTCCAGGCTCAGATTTTTGCAGATCTCTTCTCCGAACCAAAGTAATCCAAGGAGGGGAGATCTGGTAATAATTTGTGTTTGGTTCTTACACTGTGCATATGTAAATTGAGATTGTGCTCCTTCTCTCCCATCCTCCCTACTCCCATGGAGGAAAATATGAGTCAAGAAATAAAGATTGTTCCAAATCAGAACAGAACCACACTTTTAAAATGATAATGGTTCTGTCTGCAAAAAGCGGCTTAGTAACCATTATATGTCGTAGACTGGCACTTAACCAGCTCTAATAGATTAAGAAGTGATAATTTAAAAAAACAGAACCAGCACTGTAAAATCAGACGAGTGATAAAACTTTATCAGTTAATATAGCAGCAACTATGTTTAATAGTCTTTTACGTTCAATTTAACGAAAACACATATAAACAGAAGGGATTAGAAATTATCTTTCTATTGGTTTTAAATACTTGTTTAATTCTGATGCAAGGTTAGACTTCTCTTGGGCCACACACTTAACAGAAAGAGAAAAAATAATAATAAACATTAAATTTTCCTTATATGTTTGTCACAAATGCATCCTTTCTTCATTCCAAGACTTCCAGGCACTGTCCATGGGATTTTTCTCATTTCATTCTCACATGAAAGTCTGAAAGACGCTAAACATGAGCCTGCAGTGCGATATGGCTGTTAAGAAAGCTAATGCAATCTGAGGATGCATTAACAGAAGCATTGTGTCCAGATCATGGGAGGTGGTAGTTCCGCTCTATTCTGCTATGGTCAGGCCTCACCTGGAGTACTGTGTCCAGTTTTGGGCACCACATTATAGGAAGGATGTTGACAAGCTCGAGCGTGTCCAGAAGAGGACAACCAGGATAATGAGAGGGTTGGAATCCAAGTCTTATGAGGAAAGGCTGAAAGAGTTGGGTATGTTTAGCCTGGGAAAGAGAAGGCTTAGAGGGGACATGATTACAGTCTTCAAGTATTTGAAGGGCTGTCATGTAGAAGATGGAGCAGATCTATTCTCTCTTGCTCCGGATTGCAAGACTAGATCTAATGGGCGGAAATTACAAGGGAGTCGTTACCGGCTAAATATCAGGAGAAACTTCCTAACTGTAAGAGTGGTTGAGCAGTGGAACAGTCTGCCTTGGGAGGTGGTGGATGCTCCTTCGCTGGATGTTTTCAATTAGAGGCTGGATGACCATCTTTCGGGTATGTTGTAGGTATGTAGGGCTATCTTTCAGCTATGCTCCTGCAGAGTGAAGGAGGTTGGACTAGATGACCTGCAATGTCCCTTCAAACTCTAACATTCTATGATTCTATGAACCATGTAAAAAGGTTAGGCTGAGAAATAATGGCTTGTCAAAACCACCCAGTAATCTTTCTGAATTAGCAGGGATTTGAATTTGGGTCTTCAGTCAGTATTCGAGGCACTACACAAAAATGGGTCTTTTTTTTTTTTACTATACTTACTATTTATACTACTTTCTGTATTCATTAACCTGCTGACCTACTTCCAGCTGTTTGTCAATTTAGCCAATTTTAGTAGAACAACGAACTAAACAGAAGCAGCACAAGTGGGATTGTGATATAAAAATTGCAGATGATTGATTGTGGTTTGCATCTTAAACCCTGCTTCCTTCATTTCATACCATCACTGGGCTTCCACTGACATTCAATAATGCGTTGGATTCAGACCTTATTTCCCCCCAATGGCATGGCACCTCCACGTGTGGTGAAGAGGTGGTTTTTGTTGATTTTCCACTGCACACCCTTCCATTACCCCAGCACCATTTTTGGGAGTCCCCCGATCACCAGGAACAGCATTTTAGGGGTGCAACAGGAAGGCTGAAGAAGGAAAGTTTTGGTCCATGAGTAGTGTTTTAGTTGCAGTACTTTGGATATAACCCAACATCTCTTTCAGATGAGACACTGAAGAGAGACATAGTACACCAGTCTTAGGATTTCATTTCACTTCCATTTGTAAACTGAGATGAACACTTAGAACTGAACCTCTAAAGGCTGGAAGGCAAAAACCATTCAACTCAACAGCATCACAGCATTGTGAATAACACCAGCTGCAGTGGGTTTGTGGTTCTCTTTGCTATACAACTCAGCTTAATAAAATAAGCAGTAGGAAGTGACCCACCATTATCTTTGGGTCAAAAGGGGGTTCTTAACGGATGATTGTGGAAAAGGCAGCCTATTTTTACGTCAGCTTCATTGACCTAGTGTTATTTATTTCTTTGCAGTGCTACTCTGTTCACTCACCCCTCTCACAGTTGCAGGGTCAGGTACCTTCAAGCAGGTGCTGATGCCTCCCTTCTACTTCTTTCTGCACCCCATCCTTCCTTTTCCAGAGGTCACGCTCTCACACGTGTCTGACCCGGTTTAATATCTGCTTCTGAACTTCCAAGTAACGGCACAAGGAAACTGATAATTCTTGTCTCAGTGACTGTGGCTCAAGGCAGAAAGCAGCTGTGCCAGACTGAAAATGCAGCCCAAGAGGCAAATGACTGTTCACAGATTTAACAAGATCAAAGATTTATATTGGAAAGGCTATCTTTGAAGAAAGCCCATAAATAAATGAACAAATAATAAATAAGGGTTAGGAAATATTTCAAAATGAAGTGAGCTGCATAGATCGCCTAGAATTCTGTCAGCTGCCAAGACTTTCTAAAAACGATATCCTCCTCTCCCCAGCTTTGTTCATTTAACAGAAAATACACCAAAGATATGGAAAATGGGGGGGGGGGGACCACAAGTCTTGATACCAATTTTGCTTTCTACCCTAAGGTCACTTCTATATGAAATTCCCATGTAACCATGAAGAAGGTAGAAGAAAGCCAAGCATGACTTGTGGCCAGGCAAAGCCAGGGACAAAAAAAATCTAAATATTTCCACCATCCCTTTAAAATTATTAACTCAGAAACTCCACCCTTGCTCATACAATGAGGATCCCACAAATCTGTGTGTGATGAGGGACTGCTAAACCTCTTTACGTGCCATCTCTCTATCACTCTGCATGTCATTTTCAGGTTCACTGCCAGCTGGGCTTGAGCCTGCAAGAGCGAATCTGGAAGAAATAAATAGAGTGGTAGAAATAAATAGTGTTCCTCTCTCTAACCAGTTTGTGCCAGAAGTCAGAATTCAGGATGACACAGCAGGCTTCATCAGGGCTTTAACTTGAAGGCAAGTTGGGAAGTGGTTGCTTGGCTCACTAGTGTTGTAATGACTTTTGCTCATCAATCCTACATTCTCTGTCTTTTAAGGTAAAGGTAAAGGTTCCCTTGCTCGAAAGCCAGTCGAATCCGACTCTAGGATTGCGGTGCTCATCTCCGTTTCAAAGCCGAAGAGCCAGCGCTGTCCGAAGGCATTTCCGTGGTCATGTGGCCGGCTTAGCCGCCCATTAATTCCCAAGCTAGGTACCTTGTTTCTATCCTAGTCCAGAACGCCAGTTTCATCCACCCCCTGTACCCCTCTCTCTGCTAGTCTTGCCTATGGAAAGGTTTTATTAAAAATTACTCTCTTCTTGAACTTTGTAATATATCAAGGGGTTTTATATTAATAACCCCTAAACATCCTTCCTAATCATTGCCCAGGAGTTTAAATCCGACATGTGGGCCTGCACTAAAGCACTGCTGGTTTCTATCCTTCTTTTGGAAAACTGGCACTTAGAGGTGCCACCCTGGACTTAAACTTCGTTCTGCTGCCTCAGACCAACATGGCTGCCCACCTGGTACTAATACAGATTGTTTAACATTTAAAAAACCATCAAGAATCTAAACTATGAGGCACAAAAAGTAAGAGGGGGAAAAAGACTTTTTATTATGCTGTCATGCTAGTGTTATGTACAACACAATGTTTTAAATTGATTTTTAATATACTTTGCTCTTTTGAAGGCTCCCTTGAATTACAACTAAAAACTTTAGAGGCAGAAATGTAACTAAGGTAATAATCTCTGTCTACCACATCTCAACAGCAAAAAATACATACAGTTTCTGGCAGCTCTCTCCTCCACAGCAACTCCCCCCCCCCACTGCTCTGAAGGGTCCTCTTTCCCCCCAAGAGAGCATTTCAGAGAGTTCCAGAGTTCACAGAAGGAGTGGGGAAGCAGGAAATGTTCATTTGACTTATGGATGTGCCTTCCGCCACAGAAAACAAACTTTGGATTCACTCCATGTGTTTCTTTCTATTTTAAATATGTTAAATGTAATGGAGTTAGCAACAAGAACAGAAAGTAATCCTAACCTT